TCGGCGCGCCGTAAACAAAGACGTTTCGGAATGAATCGGCACAGCGCGAAGGAGCCACACGGCTCACCCCTTTGCCAGAAACCCATTTGCATTTCCCTCAAGCTCGAGTTTCTTCCCTGCGCGCAGCATCGGGACCCTGTTGCTTGCAGAAATTCCACGGCGAAGCGAGACCTGAAACATGATCGAAAAGTATACGTTCATCGAAAGCCAAACCGTCTCGACGCGAACGTACGCGTCGACGTTCTCCGTTGGTGAAACGAATTCGGTGGCGTGTTTGATTTCTCGAAACTTTCGACTAAACGCGGCTGAATCCGTTCAGGGGAACTTTACCGAGCACATAAATTGTATATAATGGCCGGTGCACAATTTGATACACTCATTTCGTTCCGACTGGTCCCCTTCTGTTCGACCAGTTCTCGCTACGAAGGTGCGCACAATACGAATAATATAATACAACTTTTAATTACAATCGCAATTAGATAATGGTCGTAGCAGTCGGAAAGTGCAATTAGACGTAGCGAAAGTTACGCGTTCGGAATCGGCAAATGAATTTCGACGACGATTGTCGCGTGAACGAGGAAAGAAGATAATGATTTTAATGTCGTGGAATTCCGAGAGCAAGTAAAACAGGGAAATAGATAGAGAAGAAATAGAATATAACGATAAAAAGCCTATCGTGGCAAGACGATATTTTTTTTGTATTTATATTTTTTTTTATCCGAAGCCGAGAAATTGTTAAGTTAGGAAAAATACGGGATTATATATTATATTACATCATATTATATTATATATTGCATTATATTATATCATATTATAATATATCATGTTATATTATATTATATTATATTATATTATATTATATTATATTATATTATATTATATTATATTATATTATATTATATTATATTATATTATATTATATTATATTATATTATATTATATTATATTATATTATATTATATTATATTATATTATATTATATTATATTATATTATATTATATTATATTATATTATATTATATTATATTATATTATATTATATTATATTATATTATATTATATTATATTATATTATATTATATTATATTATATTATATTATATTATATTATATTATATTATATTATATTATATTATATTATATTATATTATATTATATTATATTATATTATATTATATTATATTATATTATATTATATTATATTATATTATATTATATTATATTATATTATATTATATTATATTATATTATATTATATTATATTATATTATATTATATTATATTATATTATATTATATTATATTATATTATATTATATTATATTATATTATATTATATTATATTATATTATATTATATTATATTATATTATATTATATTATATTATATTATATTATATTATATTATATTATATTATATTATATTATATTATATTATATTATATTATATTATATTATATTATATTATATTATATTATATTATATTATATTATATTATATTATATTATATTATATTATATTATATTATATTATATTATATTATATTATATTATATTATATTATATTATATTATATTATATTATATTATATTATATTATATTATATTATATTATATTATATTATATTATATTATATTATATTATATTAAATTATATTATACTTATATATTATATTATATAGCGATATTAAATGTAATAACTCCAAAAGACAGTAAAAAAACTGCAAGACAAAAAAGCAATGGAAAAGGCGTAAAGCGAAGACTCTGTAAAGTCGCGGCACCTAAGCAAAATAATAACAATAATAATATTAAACTTTATTGGTTTCCTTATGGATTACAAGTGTTATCGACTCGAATGTATTTCATGGATCCGGATAAATAATCTGCGAACGATATCTTGCTCTTTTGTCGAGGTCATCGGGAAGAAATTCCTTGGAGCACGAAGCATCGAAGGAATTACTAGGAGGGGATTGTCTGCCGCTTCGTTGGCATCATTACGAGATGAACTAATATGTGCCAGGCCATTATAGGAATCGCCCTTCAAATTCCACGTCTCCTTCATATCTGGGCATATTCTGGATTTCCGTCCGTTTCCTTCGGCTTCGTTCTCCTCCCTTCTGCTCCTTATTTCCGAGTCTTATTCTCCCGTTTTATTTAGATTCGTTAAACAATTATCAGATGCACTTGACCCAAATCGATAATCCTTCTTAATTGTCCTGTAGCGAAACTTATCTTCGCCTATACGATCACGCGGAAATATTTGCACTAACGAATGTTTCCAACGCTGAACAAACTCTACGCGAGCGCCAGCAACAATTCGAATGATCTACGATACGCAGGAATAACACGTGTACAGTAATGTCTCTCTAATCGACGCTCAGATTGCCCACAAAAATGGACAATTTAGAAAGAGGAGATGCGATTATTAGAGCCTTGCGGCTCGTTTTTATAGTTACGAATTGTCAACAACTATAAAAAAGAACGAGCTGCAAGACTCGAATAATCGTATCTCCTCTTCCCAAATTGTCCATTTTTGTGCAAAATTTGAGCGTCAGTTAGGGAGACATTACTGTACTCTGTCCCGATTCTCTGCGATCCTACTAACGACCTATTAGCGACCTATTAATTTATTCGTTGTATTTTAAATAGCGTAAACAAAAACACTGCGCAAAACGGAACGAATCGAAGCAAAACAAACGCGATGGTAACGCGCGAGTACGCGATAAGGAGGTGAAAATGTAAAAAGATCATTTTGATGGATGTAAACCACGATGATCGAAACTGCGATTCATGGACCATAATCCAGTAATTTCTCCCCAATTCGTGCTTATAGTTAGCAACTGTCTACAACTATAAAAACGAGCTGCAAGGTACGAATCATCGTATCTCCTCTTCCCAAATTGTCCAATCTTGTGCAGAATTTCAGCGTCAGTTAGGGAGACATTACTGTACTCCGTTTCGATTCTCTGCGATCCTACTAACGACCTATTAGCGACCTATTAATTTATTCGTTGTATTTTAAATAGCGTAAACAAAAACACTGCGCAAAACGGAACGAATCGAAGCAAAACAAACGCGATGGTAACGCGCGAGTACGCGATAAGGAGGTGAAAATGTAAAAAGATCATTTTGATGGATGTAAACCACGATGATCGAAACTGCGATTCATGGACCATAATCCAGTAATTTCTCCCCAATTCGTGCTTATAGTTAGCAACTGTCTACAACTATAAAAACGAGCTGCAAGGTACGAATCATCGTATCTCCTCTTCCCAAATTGTCCAATCTTGTGCAGAATTTCAGCGTCAGTTAGGGAGACATTACTGTACTCCGTTTCGATTCTCTGCGATCCTACTAACGACCTATTAGCGACCTATTAATTTATTCGTTGTATTTTAAATGGCGTAAACAAAAACAATGCGCGGAACGAAACGAATCGAAGCAAAACAAACACGGTGGTAAAAAGATAATTTTGATGGATGTAAACCACGACGATCGAAACTGCGACTCACTGACCATAATCCAGTTATTTCTGCCCAATTCGTGTTTATAGTTAGCAATTGTCTACAACTATAAAAACGAGACGTAAGGTACGAATAATCGTATCTCCTCTTCCCAAATTGTCCAATCTTGTGCAGAATTTCAGCGTCAGTTAGGGAGACATTACTGTGTATATCTCGCCGCTTCCTCGTCTGCATCATGTTGCGAAACTATCGTTGGCGGCTGACCAAGCACCAACTGCTGCTACTTGTTGCGACCTCGCAGCCTGCTACCGTATTACTGTGCTACTACGCGTAGACCACGGGATTCAAAGTCTTTCCCTCTGCTTTTACTCTCGTTCCCGGGACTATTTCCGACACCGTTCCTCGAACAAAGAGCCCGTGTTCCTCCGGTTTTATTCTCGTTTCCGAGAACTATTTTCGACATCGTTCTTCGAACAAAGAACCCGGTGCTTTATCGTCCGTTATTTCTTACGTCGCGAAACGAGCAAGGACAACTCTGTTCGACCCGTTCCAGATTCCTTGGCCGAGCAAGTATTGTAACAGATCGCTCGTCCCATCGTCGTCGTTCCGTCCACGGATAGCAGAATTTTCGTGTTGCAACGTGTGCGCGTTCCCGCACAGGCGCCCTCGTCTCGCCGGAAATATTCGTCTCGGCGAAAAGGATTTGTTCCAGTGACCCGTCCGCTGCTCCAGTTAAACCGTGGAAGGATATGGATCACGATATATGCGGTTTGATCAATATGTCGCCTCATGTCGGTGTTGCGAGCCGCGTAACGATCTCGTCCGAGTCCCCTCTCTCTCTCTCTCTCTCTCTCTCTCTCTCTCTCGTCGTCGAACAAGGAAAAGCTGCATCGAGAATGGGCACGCGTGCACGAATAGTCGAGAGGCAGATGGTACCGACGTTTTTAAGAATTCGCGGCGGAAATATCGGAGGGGTCGCGGCGTGTAATTTTCCGCGAGAAATTCGTGCCCGGCGAAACGGCGATTTGCGATTTGCGCTCGAGCGATTTCTAAGTGGCACGAGCACGAGATTAATAAGACAGGATGCGTACAACGTAAATACGAGCATGACAATGACCTAAATATTCAGGCACGTTCTCGTAAACGCGGCGATCTAAATTGGAGAACGCGGTGGGGGGGAGGGAAAAAAAGTTGTATAAATATTTAACAGCGAAACAAGTTCCGATAAACTGATATGAATAATGGATATCGTATCTTTCCAGCGATCCGTATAATTATGGTAATACGGCTCTGCACGCGGTGTATAAATCACCTGAAATTCGAACGTGAAAACATCTCGTCTGATTTCTCCTCTGGTCGGAATCAAATTAATACAGTCCCCAGCTAGTTCGAGTTCGCGTAGACGGTTCTTGGAACGGTGTGGTACAAATTACGATATTACACGGTCGTCGATGTTGTCTCTGCTTTACATTGTGTCCGACGAGGGTCTTCGCGATCTCCGGATCTACTCGATCGATTAACTCGTTCCGTTCTTGCTAGTGTTATCTGTTCATGTTCCTGTTACTGTTACTGTTGCTGTTCCTGTTATTGCTACTATCACTGTTCCTGTTACTGTTATTGTTTCTATTATTGCTACTGCTACTGTTACTGTTGCTGTTCCTGTTATTGCTACTGTTCCTATTTCTGTTATTATTACTGTTATTGTTACTGCTCCTGTTATTGCTGCTGTTCCTATTCCTGTTATTGCTACTGTTATTGTTGCTGTTCCTTTTATTGCTACTATCACTGTTCCTGTTCCTGTTATTATTTCTATTATTGTTATTTCTACTGTTACTGTTCCCGTTCCTGTTATTGCTACTGTTATTGTTACTGTTCCTGTTCCTGTTCCTGTTATTGCTAGTGTTACTATTACTGTTTCTGTTATTGCTACTGTTACTATTTCTGTTCCTGTTATTGCTATTGTTACTGTTCCTGTTCCTATTATTGCTATGGTTACTGTTACTGCTCCTGTTATTGCTATTCTTACTGTTCCTGTTATTGCTACTGTTATTGTTACTGTTCCTGTTACTGTTCCTGTTACTGTTATTATTTCTATTATTGCTATTTCTACTGTTACTGTTGCTGTTCCTGTTATTGCTATTGTTACTGTTCCTGTTCCTATTATTGCTATGGTTACTGTTACTGCTCCTGTTATTGCTATTCTTACTGTTCCTGTTATTGCTACTGTTATTGTTACTGTTCCTGTTACTGTTCCTGTTACTGTTATTATTTCTATTATTGCTATTTCTACTGTTACTGTTGCTGTTCCTGTTATTACTATTGTTCCTGTTCCTGTTAGTACTACTGTCACTGTTCCTCTTATTGCTACTGTTACTGTTACTGTTTCTGTTATTGCTACTGTTCCTATTCCTGTTATTTCTATTGTTCCTGTTCCTCTTATTGCTACTGTTACTGTTCCTGTTATTGCTACTGTTATTGTTACTGTTCCTGTTATTGCTATTGTTCCTATTCCTGTTATTGCTATTGTTCCTGTTCCTATTATTGCTACTGTTACTGTTTCTGTTCCTGTTATTGCTACTGTTACTGTTCCTGTTCACGTTATTATTATTGTTACTGTTACTGTTCCTGTTCATGTTATTATTATTGTTACTGTTCCTGTTCCTGTTATTCCTACAGTCACTGTTACTGTTCCTGTTCCTGTTATTCCCACAGTCACTGTTACTGTTCCCATCATTGCCACTGTTACCGTTCCTATTTCTATTTCCGTTCCTGTTCCTATTACCGTTCCTTTTACAGTTACCATTACTGTTTCTCTGTTCCGTTCCTGCTTCCTGGAAGGAACAATATCGCGCAGAGACCGAACCAATATCGGCTTTCTGTTGAACAAAGTGTGGCTACGAAGAAAGTCCGAAAATACCGACAAAGACTAGAAAGGCAGGAGAATCGGGAATAACGGCAAGGAGCAAATGATACAGTTAAATGGAAACGGAGAGCCGTGGTGGGAGGGTGGAAGCAGCCGTTGGCTAGGAAATGGCTGCCACCTGTAGCTATTGATCGGCAGGGCGACGCCGTGTGCGTGTAGTCAAGTTTCCCGTCATCTCCTTTCTATCCGGGCAGAGCTTTATCCGAAAAAACGCCGTAAGCTTACATTTCTTATGCCCCGATGTCCGCATAAACGTCTGTCCGTGACTTATCCTGTCCACGCTCACCCTTCCGACCATCGTCCGATTATCGTCCAATTCGTCCAATCATTCATTGAAATATTGCTCGCGCTTTTGTCGTCACATTTTGTCCATCGAAAACGCTTTCTTATCCATCGATCCTTGCCGTTTCTTACCGTTTCCTGTTGCTTTCCTTTTTCAGTTAGCCTTCGCTCGAACGTTATCTATACGTAGAACGTAGCTTGCAATCGAGGCTAATGGAGCAGCTTGGGAACGAATACGTCGGAAACGGTGCCTGGAGAAAATTGTTGGTCAAGGTGGCTGCGAAAGGGTTGAAAGGGACGAACGAATCGTTCTTGTGCTCACGAGCCGGACGGTTCGTTTCTGTAGTCTCTCCGTTTTTTTTTATTTGCCTCGATTAACGCCATTTACGACTCTGACCGAGCAAGTAGCTATACTTTAGCATTTCAGCTATCATATACAGTTAATTCTCTCGAATTTTCCTTCAGCTTGTAAACAAAAATGGATAATATGGGAAGAGGAGATACGATTATTCGAGCCTCGCGCCTCATTTTTATAATTGCCAAATCGTTCATTATTGTTCAGAAACCGAGAAAAAAATTAGGAAAAAATTAGGGAAAAATTATTACTGCACTTTGTATACATATGTGTGCTTTAGCATACATATCCGAATCTATGAAGCATCGAACGATCGACGACATCGATGATCATCGACTCGATAGACTGCTTTAAATGTTGGAGGTTTTTGATTCTCAATATACTAATAAACTAATAATAAACTAATAAACTAATAACCCAACGTTCCGGAATAGAATAGTATTTTCTAGGGAGGAAACGTTCTACTCGACGAAGATTTCATCTGCTTTTTGAATCGATCGGCAAAGTCGAGCGACGCGCGACGCCTCGCGCTTTGGAATTTCCAATTTGACGATGGATTCGTATAAGCGAAGTGCAGTAGCTCTCAAGAAGCGATAAATTATTCATAGGTCGGGGACGATCATCAGGGGACTCTTTATGTAATGTAGAATTGTTGAAATAATTCTTTCAGCCGCGGGGCAGCTGGTTATTTAAGAGAGCTCTTTAAGAAACGACATTTCAAAGAGAAATCCTACATTTAGACTTTTAGATTCAGCGGTCGCGCGCATCATACGTCGTACAAGACGTGAACGGTAATCGTAATTGTAACGAATCCCACTGAAATGTTCTCGAGCAAATATCAAGTGCGGTAAATCGTCTCGAATCGTCCTTCAGCTCGTAAACAAAAATGGACGATTCGTGTGGAGAAGGATTATTCGTGTCCCGCGGCTCGTTTTTGTGACCGTCGATCGTCAACAACGATAAAAACGAATAATCGCATCTCCTCTTTCCAAATCGTCCACTTTTGTTTACAAGCTGACCGACGATCGGAGAGAATTTACCGTATACAGGGTGTCCCAAAAATGTCTCGCAATCCGAAAGTAGCGGGTTCCTCGGGTCGTTCGAAGCAACTTTTTCCTTTACAAAAATTTTCTCCGAGGCAGCGTTAACGAGTTATTAACGAAAAACAGTGACCAATGAGAGGCGAGCTCGGCTGGCGCGAGGCGACCGAGCCAACGGCGCCAGCGGTCGAAGCGGTCGAATCCCAGCTCAGCTGACGCGAGGCGACCGAGCCAATGAGCGGAACTGTTTTTCGTTAATAACTCGTTAACGGTGCCTCGGAGAACATTTTTGTAAAGGAAGAAGCTGCTTCAAATGATCCGAGGAACCCGCCATTTCCGGATTGCGAGACATTTTTGGGACACTCTGTATATTGTATTGGAAACACTCGGATCGGTCGAGTTGCAAATGAACGTGAAATACGTTTCCAGGCTTTCCATCGACGATTCGAACAGCCGAGAGTGTTTCACCAACGAGACGGAACATGAGCATGAACGCTGGGATCGGACAACGCAATCGGATCGCGGACCTTGGCCGCGCAACGGGTGAAGAACGATCCGTCTTGATCCGACAAATCCGCGATCAACAATTAACGCGACCCGTTCGAACGAACGACGATTAGACGATTTTATACGGCGCGCCTGGTTAATTGTTGCTTTCCAGTACAGAAAAATGAAAACCAGCGCCGCTCGTTCCGCGATATCCGTATCAGGTACATCGGGGGAATCGGTGTAATCGGTGAGCAGCAGGCAAGGAACACGACATTTGCTCGAGAAAAGATCGAAGAAATTGGGGTCTGGACACGATAAGGTTGTCGGGAAAAAAGAAGAATTGTAGCACCGTTCTGATCCGGTGTAGTCGACGGAGGGTCGAAGGTCCAAAGATCTGATAACCTGTAGCCGGTCCGGATCGATTCGCGTGCCTTCTGAACGGTCGTGACACGTGACTCCCTGACTCCCGACACGTTCGTGATGTTTGCTCAACTCATTGAAAAGTTACGATCGCGAATGCCGTTCTTGCCGCAAGTCCGTCGAGTCCGGCAACGATCTCGCGTGACTCGCGCGCTGCTCGCGTTAACGTTGCCGAGCTTCGATAACATCGCGATAATTAAACGAACCGTGGACTTGCAACTCACGTTCGCAAGTCCTTTCGTTTTCGTTTTCGTTTTCATTTTCGCTTTCCCTTCCTCGAATTCTCTTACGATGTCAACCGTATACGTGTGAATTATATACACGAATGTCTCTCTAATTGACGCTCAGATTGTCCACAAAAATGGACAATTTGGGAAGAGAAGATACGATTATTCGAGCCTTGTAGAACGTTTTTTTTATAGTTGTTGACAATTCGTGACTATAAAAAATGAACCGCGAGGCTCGAATAGTCGTATCTCCTCTTCCCAAATTGTCCATTTTTGTGCACAATCTGAGCGTCAGTTGGGGAGACATTACTGTATAACGATAACTAGACTACGGATTTTATGCATTTACAATGAAACGAATAGGCGAGACGAAGAATACTGAACAACTTAATCAACGTTATCGCGCTATTCTCGACCCGGTATAATTATTAAAAGAGGCGGTCCGTTCTTATTAAATTTCTGATTCACGGAATCCACGTGGACAATTTCTATTTCGCATAAAGCTCCGCTGGTCTAATGATAAATTTAGACGTATTTGCATTACGTTTTTTCTATTCCATTATCTTTCCTGTTTCTATTGCACCACTCGCTCGCCGGCTTGCCGTTTTAAAAACTGATCCGGCCTTTACGTATCGTCGTCTCTAATTTACTTCTACGCCCGATGAACGATTTAATGGAAGAAATTAACATAACAAATGCAGTAAATCCTCCCCAATTGTCCTTCAAATTGTATACAAAAATTTGGGAAAAGGAGATACGATTATTCGAGCCTCGCTCCTCGTTTTTATAATTGTTGACGATCGGCTACCATAAAAACTAGTCGCAAGGCTCGAACAATCGTATCTCCTCGTCCCGTAATATGCAGTGAATTCTCCCCAATTGTCTCTCAGCTTGGGAACGAAAGTGGACAATTTGGGAAAAGGAGATGCGATTATTCACTCCTCGTTTTTATAATTGTTGACGATCGGCTACCATAAAAACAAGCAACAAAGCTCGAACAATCGTATCTCCTCGTTCCGTAATATGCAGTGAATTCTCCCGAATTGTCTCTCAGCTTGGGAACGAAAGTGGACAATTTGGGAAGAGGAGATGCGATTATTCATTCCTCGTTTTTATAATTGTTGACGACCGGCTACCATAAAAACGAACCGCAAGGCTCGAACAATCGTATCTCCTCGTTCCGTAATATGCAGTGAATTCTCCCCAATTGTCTCTCAGCTTAAGATCGAAAGTGGACAATTTTGGAAGAGGAGATGCGATTATTCACTCCTCGTTTTTATAATTGTTGACAATCGGCTACCATAAAAACGAGCAGCAAGGCTGGTACAATCGTGTCTCCTCTTCCCAAATTCTCCACTTTCGTTTCCAAGCTGAGGGACAACTGGGGAGGATTCACTCAATACGACGATACTCATCGTTTACCAATTAGTTTGTTCTATCCGCTGCTCCGAACAGTCTCTCAATTTTCAATCGATCGATCCGCTGAGAGATTCTAGTGGGAAACGAACAGCGTTCCGTCGAAAATGTTTCTAGACATCGATGCGGTCGAGGTAATCGACGCTTTCAATTGTCACCATCGATTCAGCGTACTCAGCACCATTTCGTTCTCGACTTGTTTGTTTTGGACAGTTGGCTGCGAGAGTAGCAGCCAAGTATGTGGCGTAGGCGGCAGCGGGCAGCCAATTGAAAATTGGGAGCAACGGCGATACTGTTTGCGGACTGATCGAAGCTGTAGAACCCAATTGGCCGCGGTAATGAAAAGGTGGGAGTATCGAAACTAGACGGTCGCCGGGAATTAGGCGTCTGAGAGGCTTAGCACCGTGGAGAGACCTCGGGTCAAGGTTTCCTCGGTACAGGTCAGACGAAACGAACGAACGTGCAACTATTTCGAAGCTGACCAAATGACGCACGTGCTCCCTTTCACCCCGTTCCGAAAACGGATACCCGTCGTTCCTTCGATTATTTTCGATAATGTCTCGCAATAATTGTTACTCCGAGCGACGCTGTTATCGGAAAGGGGACAGAAAACGACGGGAAGTACGCGAGACCGCGATGATATCGGATAATCGTGCGTACAAAATGGTGATGTTCTTTGAAATGTTTGCCGAATCGGAAAGTTTACGCAGCGCGAAAACCAGGGGGATCGATAACCAGGGGATGTGCAACATGCCGGATCAACGGCAAAATTACCGAGCAGCTGAAAGGCAAGTTTTCGTAATCGATTGTCAACGGAATTAACGTATACGCGTTCAATTTCGAGCATAAACGCCGCGACACCGAACATCCGTTTCCAATTAAATCGTTGTTAACAAGAGCAAAAAGTCGAAAAAATATGTCCTCGGTTCTTCGGTCTACTACCGAGTGTGTGGATGCCGAGGCAACAGCATCGGTAACGTACGAAGCATGTTCGAGGTGGGAAGATCGGACATAGAATGGAACGTTCCCGGGAATCGAGGAAATAGGGACGGAAATTGGTCCATTAAAACGGTATCAAATCCGTCTCGAAATCACGTTGCATGCGTGGGCTCGATTTCCACGGCAAACCGCATTCCGCGAATTGCAATGCGATCGTTTCGAAGATGTCTCTCGATTCCTCGATCCGTCCGCGTAACCCGAAAGTTCGGCGTTCGATGCGCGACGAGACAAAAATCGGGCGGAAAAAAGAAACCGAATCCGATCCAACGCGGATCTTCGATCTCGGATTTCCGATATCCGTCGTTCGTTTCCAATATGCCGCTTTTTTCGAGCTATTTTCAGCCCGTTTCGTCAGCCTCCGATTCGTTATCGTTTTTTGGCAAACGTGTGAAACGATCGGCACGAGTGGACGTCCGAAAACTGGCAATTCGACGGGTCGGTCGGAAGCGCGCGAAAGCCGTTTTAAGTTGCGAAAGGATAAGCCTGAATGACCAACCTGTTACTTGAAAGCTGCGAAGGCACCCGAGCAGTCGAGTGCGTTCTTTCCGACGACGACGGTGCTACGGTGCTCCCTTGCTCACCCCCGTGCTCTCCCCCGTGCTCTTCCCCGTGCTCTCGTATGTCTCCTATTTAGCTGCCCGTTCGAATTGATACGTGATTACAGCGACGACCGATTTATGCTCGATTTCCATGGTTCGCGACGACAATGTCCGTGCCAGGACGCATATGTTTTGCGACACGACGACGCGCGTACACGGTATCTGTCGGGTTTTCACGCGGATAATGTGCCCGCGGGCGCCTCTGTTCGATCGAAAATCGGGAACATAGCCGTCGAAACGATATGAAAAATAACGCGCAAAGAAAAGTTCCTCATGAACAAGCAATTCGAACGGATATCCCCGACACCCACGACAACGATATCGTCAGGCAGGCTGCCCGACTTGCACTGCCCGGGACCGGGACTCCCGTTTCTCCCACCGAGCGAACCACCCGCCGCCACCCTCCGACAACCCTCCGCCACCCGCCGCCACCCGCCATTACACCCTCCTACCCGACGCCCATTTCTCCCGGCTCTCCCGGCCCTCGTGTCTATCCTAGTTCTCCCCGGTTCTCCCCGGCTCGCCCCGCTCCACCCCCGTTGTCCCCGGTTTTTCCTGGCGCTCCTTATAACTAACTCACCCCTTACCAAACGCCGCTCTAACGTTTCCGTATCAGAGAACCTGCCATCGAGCGTGCACGCCGAAAAGCACGCCTACTCTACCCTACCGTGGCTGCGGTTCCGCTTTGAACTCGGAAGTCGAACCCCGAACGATACGATACGATACAATGTCTTTCTAGCTCCTCCCTTCGCTGGCTTCTGTTCTTATCGTTCGCAAGCCGGCCAGCAGCCCAACACGCAAAACACGTTCGCTGTTTCGTATAAGAACACGGGTAAACTGTTCACTGTCCATCGAACGGTAAAAGTCTCTTTAGGCACGGCTCGTTGCGTTTCGATAAGCGACGGCAAGCTAATGACTACAGGGGGTCCCGAAAATGTCTCGCAATACGGAAATGGGAGATTCCTGAGGTCATTTGAAGCAACTTTTTCCTTTGCGAAAATTTTCTCCGTGGCTTCGTTTACGAGTTATTAACGAAAAACGGTGGCCAATGAGAGGCGAGCTCGGCTGGCGCGCGGCGGCCCGGTCAACGAGTGCACGGAGCCCAGTTCCGCTCATTGGCTACAGGGTGTCCTAAAAATGTCTCGCAATCCGAAAGTGGCGGGTTCTTCAGGTTATTTGAAGCAACATTTTCCTTTACAAAAATTTTCTCCGAGGCACCGTTAACGAATTATTAACGAAAAACAGTGAGCAATAAGAGGCGAGCTCGGCTGGCGCGCGGCGGCCCGGCCAACGAGCGCGCGGAGCCCAGTTCCGCTCATTGGCTCGGCCGTTTCGCGCCAAATGATCTCGCCTCTGATTGGTCACGGTTTTTCGTTGATAACTTGTTAACGAAGCCGCGGATTGCATTTTCGCTGAGGAAAAAGTTGCTTCGAATGACCCCAGGAATCCCCTACTTTCGGATTGCGAGACATTTTTGGGACACCCTGTACAATTTCGAATTAAATTCGAAATTTTCTATTTCTTCTCGGAATTGGTAATTTCATGTATCAAGATTTTGGAACAATCGTGTCATTATGAATGTGAAAAAGGATATTCTCCGCCTCGAAGTTTCCAAAACTGGGAACAGCAGTGTTAAAAAATGAGAATTTGAAGATTCTGTTTCTATTAAAATGAAGAAATCTAGAGGGAAAGGATCTGGAAACAGAAATACGCTTTTTGGATTGTTTATTCTACAATTAATTGTTCCGGATATTGCAATGGAAATAGGAAAATCCTATTCTGAGAAAGAGAAATTCTGAGAAATTCCTATTCTTTCTCAGAATAGGAATTTCCTGAGAAAGAAGCTGTTAGAAGTAGTATGGGAATTTGTAGGAAAGAAGAAAATTGTACCAACCAAAAGTATTATGGTTTGAATGACGCGCGGTAAAGTATCCGTCGGACTCGCTCGCTGCAATGCAAATCGCCACCATCAGGACTCTCTTCCTTTCGTTTTTGTCCCGTGGACATCACTGGTTTATGATAAAATTAGAGCTTAAAAAAATAAGATAAGAGTGAAGAATTGCTTAGGAGAATCCATTGCATCGATGGCAAACGATAAAACGAATAACAACACTGCGAAACATAATTAATTGCATTTTTAAGTTTGGATAATTGGCATGTTAATTAAATTTTTAAATTAATTTAATTTTGCGTTGTTGTTACAAAACATCGTTGCAGCAGATTCTCCTGAACAATTCTGTGTCTTAAGTTTACTTTTGGTTGCCTATTTTAGCAATAATTAATGTTGTTAAACGGACCTGCATTGAGCACACGTGGGCAATTAAGGCGTCTCTTTCGGAGAAAAAGCAAAGCTCCGTTCGATGTCCGTACAGCGCCAATTAGGGTAGTGGCGAAACGCTGAAACTGTTAGCCAAATTACCGACAGTCGATTTTTGCCAACAGTACGAGCGTCTTGCCACTACCCTAATTGGCGCGATACGGACCCCGAACGGAGCTTCAGTTTCTCTCCAAAAGAGGCGCCACAATAGCAACAAGTTTGGAAACAATAATGGCACAACCGGACAAACAAAATGTAAAACAATGGTATCGAACAGTTCGGTAGAATCAACAGCATCTGTGACGTATAAAAAATGGACGACATCAGAAAAGATCAACACGCTAGTCGATCAAACGTCACGGAGCAATTAATTATGTTTCGCAATTTTGTCGCTGCTTTTTGGTTACTTCAAACTAAATTATTGATCAGCTAAGGCGTTTTGACACTGTTTAATACATGATCCTGATGTTAGGCTTTATGCAGCAGAGAATTCTTGCCAGGGTTGGGAGTAGGGAATATTAATTATATATATATACGAGATTGAGGCGTATATGAATAAATATGTAATCAAAGAGTAACAAATGTTTTTAAGGTTGATTACGTTAGGACAGATTTTTCAGTATGTAATCATTGCAGTTTCTCAACACCGACTGCATTTCTTCGTAGTGAGATGTTGTACATGCTTCTTCCAATTGTAACCATTTAAATGCTTGATGTTCATCGGACAATGTAACAGTTTTGTCGCGGTTTATCAGCTCCGCTAGCCAGTAAGTGACATTCTTTGGTTTCTCTTTCACTAGATAATTTATTTCTAGTTTTGAGTCTTCATAAATTTTTAAATCCGCAGCTAGCAAGCCTGCTTCCTCTTCGGTTTCACGGAGCGCTGTCTCCATTTTCGTTTCGCCGGGGTCTACATGACCTGTGACAACATAAAAAGCTCAATAGAATCGAGGCCTGCATTTGTCTTTCGATAGGTGTAAGCACAATTTTATATTCTTCAAAAGTCACGTTGAAAGTAACTAGTACATAATAAAAAGTAATATGTTATGATATAAAGTAACGCGATAGGTCGTTGGAAAGCCAATGGGTACGATTAATTTTTTCAGGCAAAAGGTTATGTATCAGAGATAAATCAGAGATAAATATCACGAAAATACAAGACACGGACAAACGACAAACGTGATACAAACCTTTCGGCGGTGTCCAATGATGCTGGCCGTACGAAGTTTGCAATAACAGGTACTCGATGACCCCCTGAATTCGACGGAAAATAACAAATCCGCAAGCTTGACGTGCCATCCTATCTTCGATGCAGTTAACTTGCGACTAACGCAATTAGAGCGGGGCGGGGATAGGTCTATGATATATGTGTGAAAAAGAAATAACTGACCACTCCAATTGATAATTAGATCTTATCGATTCTTTGAGGTTCTTCCACATATTTCGAAACATGATATAAGAAGAGCGGATAGATAGCGCTAGTGTGACGTTGGGTGCGGAATAACTGCTGTCATTCAACGCAGGACATTGATCATATCCTCTCATTTTGTTACTAGGGAAAAACTACCTTGTCATATCTATAATTTCTTTAGAAAACCTGATATATTGTAGCTCTCAAGATAGTATACAAGTTCCGGATTTATACAAACACAAAAATTTAATCTAGTATTATACTTCTTATTTGTACACAAATATTTTGCTTCTCTCATCTTTCATATTATATCATACATATTCCCAACTATAGATAGCAAACATAAGATAGCAAATTTTTGTATCAAAGATTTGTAGACCTAGGTGTCTAAAGTTGTTTTTTTTAATAAAAAAAAAGGTGGATAAATAATAGCAATGCATCTATGCACTTGAAAGCAACAATGCAATAGCGAAGCAGTGGATCTAGCGAGACATACTTCTTACGCGAGTATGGGCCCAGAATGTATTCACACTGTTTTATACAAGCTTTTTAAATTATAAAAGAGAAATTAATAGACAATATTTGCTTCAGATTCGTATGCATGGAATGTATCGATTCCTGATCGCCAATGGTGGGAATAAAAAATATTTATTTCGATATTGACACCTACACGAATAAATATATAATCAAACTGTTACAAATGTTTCTAAGGTTGATCGCGTTAGGACAGATTTTTCAGTATATTGTCATTGTAACTTCTCAACAGCTCCTGCACTGCGCTCAAACATGTTGTACATGCTTCTTCCAATTGTAACCACTTAAATGCTTGATGTTCATCCGACAATGTAACAGGTTTATCGTAGTTTATTAGCTCCACCAGCCAGTAAGTGACATATTTTAATGTTCCTTTCCAACGATAATTTATTTTTTGTTTCGAATCTTCATAGATTTTTAAATCTGCAGCTAGTAAGCCTGTTTCCTCTTCGGTTTCACGGAGCGCGGTTGCAATTTCTGTCTCGCGGCGCATAACACCACCTGTGACCAGTGTATTCATAAGTATAAGTTACGCAAGGAGTGGGGGCTCAGACGACGCATGCGCACACGTCCCGTACATCCGCGTGGGGCGCGTCTACCGCGCGAACGTTATAGTTCTGAACCACGATCAGAGGCCTTGCGTCGCGTCGCGTACGTAGTTAAGAATTATAATGCTCACCCGGTAGACGCACGATTCCGTTGTTCGGGACTCCAGACGCATGCGCCACCATCCCACTTCTTGCATGATTTCTTTCCTTCCATGCGCCGTCTATGACAATAATGTTACAGAAAAGCCGAACACAATTCTGGCTCGCATCTGTCTTTCGATAGATGTGGTGCGAGCACAATTTTATGCAGTCTCAAAAAAGCACATTGGAAGTAATTAGTAGTAAAAAATAGTATACCGGTTCGATTATGTTACAACGAAATGTAGAAGTTAAATCATAAACGAGGCAAGTCGCTGAAAAGCGAATGGGTATGACTAATTTTTTTCTGGTAACAGGTTATGGCATCATGATCGCGGAAATACAAGACGTGGACAAATGACAAACGTGATACAAACCTTTTGGCGGTGACCAATGATGCCGACGGCCCGAAGATTGCAATAGCAGATACTCGATGTCGCCCTGATTGCGACGGAACACAATGAAGCCGCAAGATCGACGTACCATCCTATCTTCGATTCTTTCAAGCTTTTCCACGTAATTCGTAACAAAAGTATAGAGGATAGCTAGCGCTGGTGTTACACTAGGTGTGGAATAACTGCAGTAATTTGACGTAGAACATTTTTCATATCTTTCTCGTATCTATAATTTCTTTAGATAATTTGATAGATTGTAAGCTGTCTCGAGATAATAGATAAATTCTGGATTTATATAAACACAAAACTTTAATCTAGTATTATACTTCCTATTTGTACAAATATGTTGCTTCTGTTTCGTATTATATCATACATATTCCCAACTACAGATAAGATAGCAAATGTCTGTATCAAAGACTTATATAGACCTAGATGACTAAAGTTGTATCTTTTTAATAAAAAAAAAAACATTAAATAAATAAGTATAACGTATCTATATAGTTATCGAGCCAGTTACGATTTCAAAGCGGTGTTTCCAATTCTTGGACTTCGTCTTTGTACTTCCGAATTTTGTTTTTAATCGAACCAAATAACACATCTTAATCATCCGCGAACTTATTTCTACAGACTCATCGCCACCTTCCCGAATTTATTTATATTGTTCTCCAAAAGAATTCTGGTCATTCTTCGCCAAGCGCTTTTCCCTCCCCCCTCCCCCTCGGTGAATAATTGAATTTCAAACGACAACGAAATACAGTAAACAGATATATGCAACATTCGACGAAGATAAGTTTTTCTTTTTCAAAAGAAATTCTCCAAATTTCAAACTGTCCGTTGCTTGTATCTCCATGCCGGAAACGTCGTCATCATGGTCACGTGGCCGTTCCAGCGCGCGACTTTTAAAAGGAATCTCAGTTGGGAAACGATGCTTGTTACCATTTTATTAGAAACGCTTCTGCTACATTTTGTTGGCTAAATACCGATCACCAGAAAACACTTAGTAAAGCTGTATGTATGTATGTATGCATGTATGTATGTATATATGTATGTATGTATGTATGTATTAATGTACCTGTGTACGTTTGTATGCGTGTTGTATGTACGTGCGTACCTACAAATTGTTGGATGTATGCACACGTGGCCGCGTGTACGTAGGAATACGTAATTATACTTGAAAGCAACAATAGAACAGCGAGGCAGTGGACCCAGCGGGGCCGTTGAAGCTCCTTACGCGAGTCTGGGCCCAGGATTATTTTCATACTGTCGTATACAAGCTTCTCAAATTATAAAAGGTTAAATTAATATAGACAATGTCTGCCTCGGATTCGTGTGCATGAAATGTGTCGACCGCTAACCGGATTATTTTTGCGCTTTCATTCGGCGGGTTCGAGGTAAGAATTTAGTAAAAATCTCTAGCATTTCGCTGATCCCCTTCTTATCCCCTTTCCGCCGGTTCAATCGGATCCGATATTCGTTTCGTTGGTCCCAGAGGGTCCGCAGCTCCACCGTGCCGTCACCTTCAAGCACAGCCCCTCTCGTGTGCGCGCAGGGCGGATTCGGCTTAGCTGGATGGATGACGAGCCGTGTCGAAGCGGAAACGGGCTTTTTTTTTTTAATCGGACTCGGAATCGATGGTCATCTTTTTCTGGCTTTATTACTTTCATACAAAAATTGGAAAAACTGTTTGCGGACCGGCGCGAACAGTGCGTCCCCTGTCGTCCGAAAGTTTCCCGATGTCATCCGTTCAGCTTTGGGCTAGTTGGGGAGGGGTTCGAGAGCTCGGGGATCGTTCGATTGTTCTTACACGTCGTGGGATAATTCGTTCGAGCGCATCGTCGTCATCCTGCCCGCGATTCTTCATCGGTTTTAGAAATCTTTACATCGATCCATTAGAGAGATAAGCTAACGACGAGCGATCGAACGAACGGCGAAGTGTTCTAGTTTACCGGCTTGTATAACGGACGTGTTTTCAATGTATGTGTACCGTGTATGTAAGCGAGAGTGTGTACGTGTACGTGCGTATGCGTGTGTGTGTGTAATACGTTGTTACAGTACCGTAGAATTTGTTTTCTCTTCTGCCTATACGCGCGTTTTACAGGCGTGAACCATCGTTTAAACGCTATTCGAAGGGTCTTATATCCATTGTAACATGAATTCGTTAACTGCTAAGGGTAAACTTTTTCTACATCGGTCGTGTCGGCTCGGGGTCGCGGCGATCCGGATCTCGATTAATTATACACTGACGCCCCCTTCGTTCGTTCCGGAGACCGTGCGTGCGTCCCCTTTTTGTTACGTTTGCTTCTCCGTGTACAGAAATCGATGCTGGTCTCGTTCGAGATCGCGTTTTGTTCGAGGTTTGCAGTCTGTTTTCGTACTCGAAAATCGAGAGATAGATGGAGAGACAGAGAGGGTGGGGGGTGGATATATGGAGAGACAGAGCGATAGAGCGGTGGAAAGAGGGATGCCCGAAGTGGTCCGTCACTTCGGGGCGGAAACCGGTTGCAGCGTGTTCGAAACCGCGCGTTTCAGGAGGGATGTGGGTCTTCGCAAGGTGTCGTAAAGTCGCGGTCTATCACTGTTTTGCGCGCGTACAATGTCATCGATCGATCGGTCCCGGAGATCTGGGATCTTTCTCTCCGCCGATCGGATCTCGCTAAAAGGGAATATACTCGGTCGAGGATACTTAGGTGCTATCAGTCGTTCTCCCGGAAAAGAGAGCCACTCGATAAGATAACTCGGCGCGTCGGATCGAAACGTTTTCCGCGATACGTTTTTCCCGATACAGAGCCTCCCGGAAAATTCAGGAGAGAAAGAAACGTAGCTTTGGAACTTTTTAGTTAAGAAATGGACGAAAATTTCTCACCAAGGAAACTCGAATTGTTGGACCGAGCGACCTGTGTACGAAGGCTACACGATCGAAACGGTCGCGATGGAAAATTGTTTCGAATTATTCCGAATTAATTGTTACGAGAGAACCGGAATCTTTTTTTGTTCCAACAACGAAGAAAACTTCGATTATCGCGTCCGAACTCTCTTTACGGGAGCTGAAGCAATGCACCGTGGAATCACGTAATTGTTGCGCCCCTCTCGGCATTTTAAAGCCACAGAGAGCGCGGCTCGAATCGCACGGGACCCTTTGTATTTTTTGTTTTTTTTTTTTTTGGTATATCTGGTATTTCAGCATGTGTCTCTGTGTGTGCGTGTACTTGGCGTGTGTATGCGCGCGCAAACAGCGCGTGTTTAGAAACGTGAAAAAATGATTCGTGTTCCGTATTTATTTAAATAAATTAGTGATTGCCTATAAGTAATTTACTCGAGATTAATCTTAGGCAAATATAAAAAGTTTCGCGTTAACTCGATTATCCCGAGATGCATTTCCATTCGTTCGTTTTCTCCGTATCCGTGTTCGTGGTTCTCCTCTTCTTCAGTATTCCGGTGCGTCTTCCTCTTCGAATCGTCTCTTCGTCTTCCTCGCCGGCTTCCGTCCTCTTCCGTTCCCGTTTGTCTTTTTCTCGTCCTTCCGTATGGTCCTTCTCCTTGGATTCTCCGTTTCTTCGTAACTCCTCGCGTACGCGTTTTCTTTTTTTTTTCCCCCGTTTTATATTCGTGTGTTCTTGGTGTGTGAGGCTTTCATTTTTATTTGGTTAATTTAGTACCTTTCGTATATTATATTATTTATATACACCAAGTCTCTCTAGAATCGCCTCTACATTTACAATAATTCCTAATTTAGTTTTCATTCAACCGCGAATACATTTGCGAATAAAAGGTTAAATAGCGTAATAGTGTATAGCCAATTACAATACTTAAATATAATCCTTACATGGTACTCTTTCGTAGAAACAACAGATCTCGTTTATCGACGATGTCGTGCGCGCGTGCGTGTTTTGTTGGGTATGGCTCCGGACACTCCCTTCTTTCGCGTTATCATCGGTTAATCAATCTCCCAAGCTTATTTTTTCTGTTCTCTTCGTTACGGAGCGAAGTACTTGTGTGTTTTACTCGAACGTGTTACGAGTAGAATCGCTCGACGACGATAATCCCTAAACAATGTTTAAATAATAGTGTTTCTCTTCTTCTATCATCTTCGATCTCGATCTTATATCGTGTCTTAACATTATTTGTGTACTATGCGTAGAAATAAAAATAAAAATAAAAATAATAATAATAATAACAATAACGATAGTAGTAATAGTAGTAGTAGTAGTAGCAGTAGTGGTAGTAGTAATAGTAATAACAATAAAATAATAATAATAATAATAATAATAGTAATAAACGTAATTATAATTATCGATACGCATCAATTAATTGGCTAACGTCTGCAAAGGGTTGGATACCATTAAACTTGCGATAAAAAGAAAAGGAAAAAAGAAATGGTGGTGGGGGGGAGGGGATTCGGGAGGAGAGGTGATAAAGTATCGTAAAAATATTCGAAAAATGTAAGATATCGTCTTGGGGGGGACGCGATGCACCGAAATACGTTCGCGGCCCATCGAAAACGGCTGTGGTTTTTCACATTTGAACGCTGAATGGATGATCGTTATTAAATGTCGCGAAGGTAGTTTCGTTTAAAGGGCTGTATAATCCTACGCGTTCACCTTTACAACAGGCTCCCATTTTGTTCGAGATGCGTGATCGGTTTTTATGTACAAACAGAGACCTCTTTTCTTCGTTTCACCGTGAACGTTCCGAGGCGCACCCGCGCGTCTCGCGTTCTCGCACAGACACAAACAAAAAGAAAGGCTCGTTTCGTCCACTCGTACGGCTGGTGGATCGTTGGTTGGTGCGCGTGTGTACGATAATACGCGTGTCTCGTCGAAGGAAACGTGTCCGTAATTTTTTCTCTTGAACCGGCCGACGTGTCTCCACGGCCGTCCTCCGACCACCGAACAACAGCTGTGCGTACACGTTCGATCGTCTCTTCACTGCATGAACTTTTCGCGCAACTTCTTTCCGCACTGCACCGCACCGTATCGCATCGCATCGTATCGTATCGCATCGCATCGCATCGCATAGCATAGCATAGCATCGCATCGCATCGCACCGAACCGCAGCACCCCGCGCACCATCGTATCCCCGATTTATACGTCTCGTTCCTCTTGCGTCACACGCGGAAAAAGATTTCCGGGCGTGTCTCGTTAAATACGCGTGATTAGGCACAGTTGAAGTACAATGAAATCGTGTGTCTCCCGTTGGATGGTATCGCGTGCGAACCTGGCGATACCGAAAGCGAGAAGAAAGGAGAGAACGACGCGCCGCGCCGCGCCGCGCGAAATAGAACGCGGCGAGAAAAAGGAGGAGGGGAGAACGCGTCGCGATCACAAGCGAGAAAGCGAGAGAGAACTTGCCTCGAACTAAACTAGAAGAATCGCAGCAGTGCCCGCTTGATGCTCGCATTCCACGCGAAAAAAGTCTCGCCGAAGTCTCCGCGGGCTGTCCCCGCTGGCTCGTGGGACCGCCCGCGCACCGTTTCCCCGTTCCCATTCGCATTCGGCGTCCCCCACTCTAGGAGCGAGCGAGCGGAGGGGGAGAGAGCGGACCGCCTACCCGGGCCCGAACGCTCGCGACACAGCCCCGAGTAAGTCCCAAGAGAGAGTGCGACCATCGAGCGGGCACTCCGATCTTGCTTGAACGCGTGCGTGCACCGAGACGACATCGATTTACAAAGTACAGTGTTCCCTCGTTAGCGTCACGGCCCGCCGGAATCGAATCGTCAGCCAAATACAAAGCAAAGTACCGTGTCCCCGCTGTCTTTAATAAACGTCTCGTCCGCTACATCGATGATAACGTCTCTCCTCGTCAGCGCGCGACGCGGGACGCCTAACCGAGGGAATACTGCGATAGTGTGAACGCGCGATACGCTGTGACTGCGACGATCCTGTCCTCCCGCCGACGTACACGCGGATCCCGGCGTGTCCCGGGGTGTCCCGGGATTCTTGTGCGATTCTGCGACCGTGCGAGCCTGCACGAGGTACTTGGTTCGGTTTAACGGGGACCCTTCGGCGACCCCTTGGCGACCCCTTTCGACGGGGAGAGAGAGAAAAACGGGAACAAACGGGAGCAAAAAACGAGAGCAAACGGTCCGCGTGTACGACGCGGGCGAGGAGGGACGCGCGCGGGTTTTCAGCTTCTCGTCACCTGGTCTCTTCGTCTCCGCGTCTCTTCGTCTCCACGTCCCCGCGCCTCCTCCTCCTCCTCCTCCTCCTCCTCCTCCTCGTTCCATCGGGCCTCCTTCCTTTCTTCTCTGTCTCGCAAACGTACGCAACGTCGTCCCCCGTCCCCCCCGGCTCTCCACAGCCCCCAAATCGCACTCGAACTTTTATATATCCGGCATCCTCTCGGGCTCCTTCGTCCCGCGCGGCGAACACGGTTCAATTCGCGAAACCTAAGACCGACAACCTGGTTCCGAATTTGGCACTCGGGAGTATTATTCTGTAAATATACACGTTACGTACATACGTATATACATACATACGATATGCGATATGCGATATGCGTATACATACGTACGCGTACATGTATACACGGTAATACCATGACGTGTTCAGCCATGTAAGTATGTAAATAGATCACAGTGTCCCAGCAGCTGTTTTCACCGACAAAATGTTACGTGCGCACACGGCCGAGCTGCGTGGATCGTTGCACCGCGTTGCACGCAGAGGATCGACGATGATCGGCGAGAGACCACGCCCGTTCGTAATCACGGAGAAAAAGAGAGAGAGAGAGAGAGAGAGTGTGTGTGTGTCAGAGAGAAAGAGAGAGAGAGAGAGAGAGAGAAGCTCCGTTCGCCTCGGCAACGTTTCGACTGGGACCCGGCGCGCGAACGAATCGACATTCTTAAGACGGAGAGAGATCGTTTTTTCCCTTTTCTTTTCATTTTCTTTCGTTTGACCGGCTCTTAGACAAAGATTTCACGGGTGTCGGACGGGGGATCGGAGTCAATGTCGGTGTCGGATGCGGAGCTCGGGTCGAGATCGAGGTCGAGATCGAGATCGGACTCGGTTTCATCGGAATCGAAACGAAAGCTCAAGTCCCAGAAGAAGGAGGAATAGAGAACGTCGTGGTCATCGGTGGCTGCGAGGAGTCCATGCGATCGGTCAGGAGGGCGTTATGGGTTGTTGGCGCGGGCTGCTATGGAGCCAGTCGTCGGCAGTCACAGCTTCAGTTCGTTCGCAATCTTGCTGGCAATATTTTTAAAACCGATCGACGTGCCCGAGATGCGTTTGAAACGTACGCCGTTCAGCGATAGTCGTGGCAGTTTACAAACTTCGATCTCCCATTGCACTTGGCTGTCTGTCGCCGCGTCGCCGTGCGCGCACAGCAGCAGGAACCTTTCGCGCTGTTCGTACTGACATTTATTGGCGTCCAGTACCTGAAGCGATCGACAAACCGTTAGTAAAGACAAGACAGATCCGCTCGCCGCCGGTGCTCGGCGGATGGGTGATCAAGCCGATCGTGCGCGATCGAGCGCGATCCGGAGAGAAGCTCGGTTATACGAACGAGCCGTAACAAGAGCCGGCCCGCTCGAACACGATCGATCCGGTTCAAGCCGATTCGAGCTAATCCCGTTTGCTTTCGCGGATATTACCGCGACGCGATCGCAACGAACAACTTACTTTGCCTAAACTTTTTTGTCTCGTTCTCGTTGCGAGCTCGCAAACGAACGATGCAAAACGAACTGCCGCGAAATGCAATTTCGAAACGAGACGTAATTTCGCGACGTGCGTAGGCGCGACCGATCGAATTATTGGATCGAGCATCAAGCGGACTTGACCCGGATCGGGTCTCGTTTAGCCGCGATCGGGATCGTTAATCGATAATCGTGATCGTGATCGTTGTCGTTTATCGTTTATCGTTTATCAGGATCAGGATCGGGATCGCGATCGAGCTCCGAAACTGCTTGAAGACCCAAAACACTGGGGACGGTGGTATCCGGCGGCGATCAGATTTAGGTTCGAAAGCGTGTTACAACACTCCCGCGGGACCATTATCGAATCAAGAGGACCGTTCCCGTGCGCGAACGTGTGCTGTTCTCGATTACCTTTTCGATCGCGCTGAACAATCATCGTCTCGAAAGAGAGAGACAGAGAGAGAGAGAGAGAGAGAGAGAGATAGAGAGAAATAGAGAGAGAGAGGGACCCGCGTTTCTGTGCGTGTTTTTTTTTTGGAAAAGCTTGTTTTCTACGATGGTTTTGAGGGCAATACCTTTCGTATTTCGGACATGATCTCATTCGGATCTCGACTACTGGTGGTTTTCATACTCCATGTGAATCGTAGACTGCGTGGTTTAACCTGCTCTTCGTTAGTGGTCGCTCCGCTGTAACAAAAGAACGTCTTAAATCCGCACGGCCGAGGTTTACGGCGCCGGTGAACACATGCGACAGAGAACACATTCGATTTTTTTTTCTTTTTTTAGCGTTCGTGTCCGACTGCGCCCGACTGCACCCGACGCAACATTTTTTCTGTGGGAATTGCTCGTGTGGGGGTCAGTTTTTCGTTTTCGACTCTTTTCGAGGGGCTTGTTTTTTCTTTTTTCTTTTCTTTTTTTTTCTCCCGGTAACTCGGTAATTCGGTAACGGTGTCGGTTGTTGTCGGTCACTGTTCCTTCGTGGTCGGGTGCGGCTGATTCAAAGGTAGAATCTGCAAGCTGTCGGTACAATCGATGATCTTTCTCGGACGGCGCAACGTAAAGAACGTGGAACGGTCACATGCGTGCATACATGCAAGTTTCGTTTTTTTTTTCTTTTGCTTTTTTCTTTTTGTGTCGCATACACACGATCGTGGATGGGGAGGCTCGGTCATTGGGAAGAATGTTAGCCGCGGATCGAATAATTTGTTCGTGTACAGTAAATTCTCTCGAATGGTCCCTCGGCTTGGAAGCGAAAATGGAGAACTTGGGAAGACCGGACACGATTCGCCGAGTCTCGCGGCTCGCCTTTATAGTTGCCGACATCTCGTGAGAGAGAGAGAGAGAGAGAGAGAGAGAGAGAGAGAGAGAGAGAGAGAGAGAGAACGAAAATCGGAGTAGTCGGCAAACATAAAGGCCAGCGGCCAGCATATCGCTGTAAATTAATCCAAATTAATCGATGACGCTAGAATAAAAACGATGCTTTTCTAACTTGTAATACATGAAAATTTGTTTAACACATCGGCGAGATTCTTCCAATTGAAACGAGACCAAACACGGCATGCTTTCGACCGTATTTATTCGATTACATAATGATCGATTTCATGTCACGTAATCAGAAATATCCGTCCAAACTATACCGTGTTCGATCTTATTCTAATCGAAAAACTATCGGCGACATGTTAAGAACAAATTCAGTCCTAAAATGTTCAAATTGAAATAGTTACGTTATCGTGTCACGAGTTGTCATTCCGGGAAATTCTAGTCAAAGGAGCAACGTCGCGTGCCGCATCATACGCCTGACCGACTAACACCTTGGCATAGGCGTAGGAATGGGACAGGGACAATGTGGGCAGAAGAACTCAAACGGGGACTATGCGGGAGAATTTACTGTACTCCCGACGCCCGTCGAGGAAGCGGGTTTCGCGTTGCTTCGACCGAACAACGTGACCCGACGCGAAAACCGTCGGAACGCGGAGCACTCGTCGAGACGGTTCTCGAGATCTCGAGGCCGTGGAACGCGAGGAAAGCGACGATGAAACCGCGGTTATACAGGATGTCCCGAAAATGTCTCGTAATCTGGGAGAGAATGGTTCCTGAGGTGATTTGAAGCAACTTTTTCCTTTGCGAAAATGCGATTCGCGACTTCGTTTACGAGTTATTAGCGAAAAACGGTGGCCAATGAGAGGCGAGCTCGGCTGGCGCGCGGCGGCCCAGCCAGCGAGCGCACGGAGCTCGGTCCCGCTCATTGGCTCGGCCGTCTCGCGCCAACTGCTCTCGCGTCTCATTGGTCACGGTTTTTCGTTAATAACTCGTAAACGAAGCCGCGGATCACATTTTCGTTAAGGAAAAAGTTGCTTCGAATAACCCCAGGAACTTCCCATTTCCGGATTGCGAGACATTTTTGGGACACCCTGTATATGCTCGTTCGATCGCTTCGTCGACCACGTCGTCCAGGTCGATGCCGTGCTATCCGACATCTAAATGTTGTTTGCTCGACAAACACGGCCCGCGTGCCGGGCTCGTACGAACGAACGAACGAACGCGCGTGCAGTCAGTCGTGTACGCGTGAAATCTTTGAATGTCTGAGACGAAGACAGCGGTGTGACACAGTTTCGTGGACGTCGACAACACGCGCATACACGTGTATCCTTCGTTTCGAGAATCGAAATCGATATTCTAACGGTTTTCAAGCTCTCGAGCGCGTCCGAGCGAATGAACTATTAATGCTCTCCGATAGTCTCGCACGGCACAGTTATCTTCTCTATTGGACAAGCTTGACGCTGAACCTACCGAGCCGGTCGAAATCACCCTTTTTTCCCTTACACCTTTTTTCTTGTTTTAAAAAGGTTGCTGCAATTAAAAAGACTCCGCATGCAAACAAATACGGTCTCTTCGTCGTTATGAAGCAACAGACGTTAGATACGTTCGGGGCTCGGTAAACTTAGCGTTAAAAAGCATTATACTCCATTCAAACTGTGATGTGCCTTTGTTCTTGTTATCGTAAAACCGGGCGTTTACCCGTACATATGAATAAATTAAATTGAGTTAAATTAAACTGAGTAAAATTGAATTGAAGATAAATTAAATTGGATTAAATTAAGTTAAATTAAATTGAATTAAATTAAGCTAAATTTGAGTCAAATTAAATGGAATTAAGCTGAATTAAGTCGAATTAAATGAACTTAGCTAACGATCAGCAAACGAATCAATATCCACTAAACGTCGCAGCGGGCCGTCTTTCCTCAAGAATCCAAAATTTCCTCGATGTACACGGACCAATTTCTAACAGATTACTTCGCAAGCGATCACGAGTACGATTGAAATGGTACTCGAACGGGAAAAAAAACCGAGCACGAGTTGAGTACGATCGCGAGAAGTGAGCGGACAATGAAAGAGAGAAAGAAAGAAAGAAAGAAAGAAAGAAACGAACAATATAACAATCGTGAAAGTATAAAAAAAAATATTTATATATATCTATATATGTGTATATAGAGAGAAAAAGAGAGAAAGAGATTGCGAATAAATAAATAAAAGAAAAGAAAAAGAGACAAGAAAGTAACGTGACGTGAAGAAACAGAACGGAGGAGCAAAATGAGAGAAGTTAGAGCGTATGGATCATGGTATTATGGTATGCAGCAACGTACCTCACTACTGGGTGCTTTGGGGGTACGGATGGGTCCGTGGGGCTGAAATAACAAAACAAAGGCAGTTGCTAACAAACACTAAACATGATAAATCATCAAATCAAATTGAATCTATACGTGTAATAACCACCACCACTCTATATCACCACTGCACACCGATTGCCGGGGGTCGTTCACGGTATCGAATACAAAACGAGCGTGGGTTCTCGGGGGGTAGGGGCCGGGGGGGGTTGAGGGTCTGGGCAAAGGTCGGGGGAGAAAAGGGGGTTGTTTCGTTGCACAGCGGCGGCGATTACATTCGACGATTACAATAAAATAGAATAGATAAAACGGTTTCGAAGACTCTAGGGGCGAGATGCTCGCCGACTCTCGATTCATCGATTCGATCGTACGCGAAAAAGTTTTGCGAAACACGCACGAGGGAGACGATCGTTTTTCGGCAGTCCTCGGCCGACCGAACAGGAAAGAAAAAGCGTAGGTCGACAGTCAAATGAGAAAGTCTCCGTACGTTCCTCGAAACGGAGCGACTTTCTTAACGTCGGCGTCGACGACAACTCGAGCTTGTTTTCGGAGATTTTAGATGGAACGATCAGTTTGCTAGACGATCTAATCTGCGATCCAATGATAAATTAACACGCTATCTGCGGGTCACAGATCGCGAGCTTTACTCGCGTCTAACCGTGAAAAATCAGCGAATTTTTGTGAAATCCGCTTTTTACAATACGCTTAATATACTCGCGAAATTGGCGACAAGATTTTGTACAACGAGGACTTCTAGGATTTCGGAGAGGGATTCTTTCAAATATATAACGAAATTAACCCTTCGCACTCGAGTGGCGACTCTGTGGCACCGCTAAAATCGTTACACCACGTTCCAAGATAATTTTTATATTGTCAAAGTTTAGATGTAAAAAGTTGTTAAAAGTCTAACTGTTGTACGAGTCACAAGACTCAATTTTATATGCACAAAATGCACTTTGTCGCATAAAATGGAAATATCGTAAGACAGAAAAATTAATTTAGATTTACGGTTAAAATGGTTTCGAGTGCAAAGGGTTAAAGAAAGTTAAATTTTTTGGAAAAGTATCGATACCTGTCCTGCGCGTAGCGTGTTAAAACAAGAAAATATTTATGACAGCGACGTAACGCGCACGACGAGAATATACGATCGCGTTGGATCGTCTAGTAAATTAATCCTTCGCGGCGAAGCTCGAGTCGTTTGGTCAACTTCCAAAAGGATCGATTTAGCCTGAAAGAGCGTGTACGGCGATTTTGTCGTTCGATCGTACAACCAATTGGTCGTTCGATGGAGAAACCGATTACGTTGACGCGACACCGTCGCATGCGTATGGATTAACGGCTCGAAAACGGAAATCGCACCCTTCCCCTCCCCTTCCCCCTGTGAAGAAACGCGCGAGAAAAACGGCTCCTTTGTCGATGGAGGTGTTTCAGAAATAAATTGGTACCACATATACAAGACAGTTTCAACATTGTTTATTAATACGAAATTATTACTATTATTGCTTCTTAAAATTACTTTAAATAATATTTCTATTCTGTTTCTATGCATGCTATTTACTGCCCTCCATTCATCGTGGAAATCCAAGGCAGTCGCTGTCTTTTCTCCCCATGATGAAAATTGCATCCCGTCGTATCTCGTGCGATATATGTATATGTATATGCATATATATATATATATATATATATATATATATATATATATATATATACATGCATACATATATGTATATACATATACATATCGGAAGATTTGCTGTCGCGGAACCGAAATCGTCGGGAGAACTCGAGAAAGATATCGAGAAATCAAAAAACGGAACGGAAATAAAATATATATATATATAAAAAAGGAAAAGGGTGATACGAAAAGAAAAAAGAAAAAAGTCAATAGAAAGAACGGTCTTTCAGAGGCGCGTGGGCGGGCGTAGCGTTTGGAGTGCAGCAAACAGCATCGATCCATTTACAAATGCGCTATCGTCATATACGTTGCGTATATCTTTCATCATCATCATCATCGTCCGTTTCCCTTGTCTCTTGCCGTGTGTGTGTTTTCTTTTTCTTTCTCGGCGCCGTTTGCCTTTGTCTTTGTCGTCTCCTCTGCTCCGTTCGCGCGTCGCGTCGTCGAGGAACTACGATCGGAATCGCTTCTCCCGGGATGATCCGCGAGACGTTCTCGTTTCTCTCGGCTTGCGTGCACGCGCGCGCTCTTCTTCTGCTCGTCGAACCTTTGCCGAACGTTCGCCGATATCCACCCCGCTCCAGTCCCCCGCCTTTCTCTCGTCATCCCCCGCGATTCTCGCCGCGCGACAGGCACGGGCACAACGCGGGCGACCGAATTTTGCACCGAATTTTTTCTTTGTCGGAGCAAACAGAAACGTAGGTCTGCAGGCAGATCACGCGAATTTAACCCGATTTTACGCGTTAGTTTAACCTGATGTTTCAGGTTAGAACGCGACAGATCGGCGTGACATCGACGGATCTTCTTCGAGGATTATCTTCGGATCATCTTCGAGGATTTGTAAGATCGACAAATTTCTCGGACACGCGGAAACGCGTCGACGTAGATGCTATTTTAGCGTTAACGCGAGAACGTTCTTTTTATCGAGGATCAATATATCGTTCCTTTCTTCGTTCTGGTTTCACGAAATGTCCTGGTCCTGCGAAAACTCGTTGATATTCGGGTAGCTTTTAAAACGGAATCGCTTCTTTAACGCTACAGTTATAAAACCGATCGAAAAGGCCTCGTTTAATCACTGAAATTATAAAAACGTGTTCTCGAATGTAATAACGCGCACGAAATTCGAGTAAAACTGAACTTACTATTCTCCCGAAGCAACGTATTTCGGTAACGTTTAACCCTAAAACTATCGTATCAATCGAAACGTTGTAAGAGCATTTCTTGGTGAAAATTTTTAGACACAGCTCTTTGCTGGAGCATATAATATAATATAAATCGTACGAAGTTTAAACAAGACCAGTCCCGGCAAAAATGCAAAATAATATACACTAGTCGCGATTAGGGCTCGATAATTTCCAGCGTTAACGTTCCGACCGGTGCAAATAATAAGAACGACGTCGCAAATGTTCGAAGAGCAGTCCGTGCCCATGCCTGCTAATTTCTCTACGGAGATAATGCGCGCAGAGACGTTCAACTCGCGGCTCTTGGGGCCGACTCGTAGGAATAATGGTCCCAGGCCGCACCCTCGCGTGTTTTACGTTCCGGAGCACGGTGGTTGCTGATAACAGGCAACCGTGTCCAGGAACCAACGGGCGCACAGTAAATTGAACGGCCACAGAGGAGCCACGAACGAACGTCCCCGCTCCGCGATGAGCATCCCTCGAAATTATTGTTTCGCGACGAGAGAAAAACGCGGAGCGAGAGAAAAACGGCAGAAGCGTTCGGTCGATACGCGCGCGTACTATCGGCGAGAATCGATTACAAAGGAATTCCGACGACGGTCTCGCGAGGCGCGACACGACGGAGAGGAACGCGCGCGCGGGAACCAATGAAAAGCCGATCGAGATGAAACGTGGGCGCGGCGGCAACGTGCGGAAGTCTCGGTTCCTTGGAAGCGGAAAGCTCGGATAAAGATTTCTCCTCCGTCGAACGCGAACGCCCAGCGATCTTCTTCCTCGGTCCCTCCTTGTTAGCTCGCTCGGCTGCTCGAGAGGATAGACGCGTTTACAAAGACGCGGTTTTCTTCTCCGTTCTTATCGGTTAAAGTTAAAAGAGAACAGATCCGCGATCCTCCCGCGCTAAAATGCTCGGGGACGATTATCCGGGCGGACGAACTAACCGCGCGACCATGTCGACCTTTTTTCGGTGTCGCTTAGTTTAGCAAAATACCCTTTTTTTCACTTTGTTTGTTCTCTCGTTTACGCGCGAAATGTACAATATCAAAAAGAGGAAGGCACGTAGTTTCGATAAACGGGGTCCCGCCGGTCTCCGTCGGTCTCGCGGCGGCCACGCGCTCGATAGCCACACCGTCGCGAGAACAGCATTTAACCCTTTCGCTACTACGGGTGACTATAGTCACCCGCCACAAAACGACACCCACATACGATGGGTGACTATAGTCACTTGCCACAAGATGCCACCTATACACGACGGGTGACTATAGTCACCGGTCACAAAAATGGAGCCAAAAGTTAAAACAAGGGTTATCGCCTCGCTTTCCTCTGTTCGCAGACGCTATCATCTACCAAAAACTACGATCAATTGTAATAACTCTGGTCATATTAATCCAACGTTTTCGAAGCAAAAGACTTGGCCCCGAATGCTGAAGACTGCGCGCGCTTAATGTTCCTGCTTTCGGCAGGGTGCTCCGTTCTACACGAGGGACTCCGCGGCGAGGCCCGCCGTAGCGAAAGGGTTAAATCGCCGGATGCGCGTTCATCCTCGAACGGATCTGGTCGCTTCTCCGTCAAAGGGATCCCCGTCGGCGGCGTTTCTGATACGCGACGGCGGTTCTACCGAGCGCGCGGTCGTCGGCGGTGCGTCGTCGTTTCCCTCGTCGGCTTTCCTGGAGCGGAAGAACGCGGAAACCGGCTGAAGCTCTGTCGTCGTCTCGCGATCACTGTCCAAACTTCTACTCGGGTCTCTGTGTCCTGTGCATTTCTCTTTGCCAATCGAGTTTTGTACAATTAAACGGGCTACAATACAATCTGTTCGACGCAGAGGAAGGAGAGTCAACCGATCCGTTTGCATCGTTCGTGGCCAGTCCGCACCGGTGTTCCGTTGCTCCCGCGCGATCCCCGATGCGAGTCGATTCGAGTCGATTTACAACCCCCTAACGCGACTCTGTCACACGCTCGTCGTCGGTTTTTCGATCGATCGTCGACCGATTGTCCACGGACGCGTCTATGTACATAGAAAGGCGAACGATTCTTGCATGGTCGATCTTTGCTCCCGATCGTCGTACGCTCCTCGCGAATAATTCCACGGAAGATCCGACATCTCGTCGTTTCGCCCCTCCGTTGAGGGATGATTCTGCGCGGCCTCGTGGCTCTTGTTACGCACATCG